AACGAATCTTCGCTTTCACTTTCAATAATTCTCATTCTTCGTCTCTTTGGTAGTTTGGCGGCGGTTCGTAAGGTCGTGGAAAAGGAGTGGGGAGACGTTTCGTCCGGGGCCCGCTAGAGGACTCATCGGTAAGGCTATCCTAGCGGGCCCTTGCCTTAGACGTAAGGGTAGGACGAAGTCTCGGTGTATATATAGGGATCGAGGCGGATCGGCTACTAGCGGGAAGAGGAGCCCTCTGCTGGCGGGTCTGGAGGTAGCCGCCACAGTAGTATAATTTCGCTGCTACTACTCGAAGCGTCAGAATCATAACCAACATTGTCTTCCGCAATGTCTTTTAACTCTTCAAAATCAAATACGTCTTCGGTATCACTCGGCTCTAAATTCTCATCATAATATTTATTTTTCTCCGTGTTGCTAACCATAGAAAAGGTCAAAAAATGGTTTGATCGTAATGGTACAGACTTAGCACGTTTTAACTACAGATAACAATTGCTAACGCCGACGATAACGTATGCAAAAAACATTTAGCTTCGGAGTTACGGAACAAATGACAAATGTCTCCGTAGCGGAGCCTTCGGAGCGCTAAGGGTTAAGAGATCACGGCTTGTTTTTATAGTTACCGACTGTCAACAACTATAAAAACGAGTCGCAAGGCTCGAATAATCGTATCAGCTCTTCCCAAATTGTCTATTTTTGTGCAGAATCTGAGCATCAATTAGACAGAATTCACTGTAGTTCGGACATTTCGGGAAATGTGTCACTTTTTAGTCCGTTTCATAGTTCGCTGTAATCGTTGCCGCAGGAAATGTAACTTACAAGCTGTTTCTTGTAACCTATGAACCCTGGGATTTTCATGGAACTGCAATTTCGCGTTTCACGTGCCACTTTTTTCGATTACAGATCCGAATAAAGCCCTCAGCGACAGTGTCGCGTGAAAAGTAAATATTATGAATAAATAAATACATCGACAGATTGCGAGCACGTTATCGAATCAAGCGGGCAATAAATCCGTTCTGTGAAGCTCGAGTTAGAGGGAAAACCGTGACTAGTTTTTTGGTGAGCCCGGTATGCAGGACGGATCGATAGAATTTTAATGTTCGCGACTCATTTAACCTGGTAAAATACAACAGGTTCATTCTCGTCGATTTGCTTCGCGTTCTCGTGCTGCTCGAAGCAAACATCGGGGGCCGACATCGCAACGATAATTGGCCCGTGATTCCAGCCTTAGCAGCGTTAAACCACCGATAAATGCTGAACGTCAGAAGAGAGCCTATGCTCGAACAGTTCTGCGTGCGCGATTCCTTTCGAGCTTATCATCTCGACACGAAAAACTCCGATTAACCGGCTTAGCGGCTCGATTAAGTTTGAAAAACGGACAGACCATTTCCGGTACGTCTAACACGCACACTCCAATCATCATTTGTTTAACCCTCGAACGCTCCCATTGACAAATACACGATCGATGCTCTCGTGACCATTAATCCTTTTAAAAATTAATTGCGCCATATCGATCGTCGGATAACGCTCGGTACATTTTTCCTTTGAAAGGAATTATTGGATTGGCAATACGTAACCGTAATGAACTTATTGTCCGAGAGCAAAAACAATTCGACGTTCTCGGAACCGTCTTTAATACATTGGCCGTCGTGCCAATATGCTTTAATATACTTTATTTAACACTTGACATTGATTTTTGAGCTAATCTTATTATATCTCGCTAATTTTATTAGCATCCATAAAACGTAAAAATGTTCGACAAGTAATTGATATGATAAAACTTGACGTTTCAATTTATATTTCGTTAAATAATATACTCGAGGTTTGCGACACTTTCAGGGTTATTGACATGGCAGGCAAAGCGTTAATCGAATTAAAGTTGAGAAGATAACAATGATGTTTGATATCAATTATTCTTACGTTTTTCAGATCCTAATAATTTTAAACATTTATATTATATATATATAAATATTTATATTATATTATTATTTTTATATATAAATATATAAATATATATAAATATTTATATTATAATAATTTTAATCATTTTCAAGGAGCAAATAATTTCAAAATATAGTTGATACTAATACATTGTTGACCGGCAAATTTACGACATCTGGACATTAGAACATGAATTAATTCGTGACCGGTGCGTTAACAATGTGTTAACAATGTGTTAACAGCTAAAGCTTTTCTAATTTTAAAATAAAAATAGAAAAGTATCGAATGTGTCGATGCTTGCCCTCGAGACCTAACCGTAACCATAACCATAATTTTGTTCTCGGGATTCCCAAGTCAGTGGTTGCTACAGATCCGCTGAGTAAAGACCATCCTTCCGTGCCGTGAGATAAAACCATTTTTCTGCCAGAAAGTACCACAATGTACATTCCACTTTGAATCCATTTCCAATAGTAGCTCCGCGGTATCTAGATGCAGAAGGTGCCCGGAGGAGAACGCGGAGGGTTCTATTTTAAAGATTCCCGTTCTAGACACAACAAAATGAATCTTGATTCCGATCTCCTGACAGAAAACAGACGCGGGCACCAGCATCCAAGGGTTAAGTAATCTCTTGGATTTTCCGAGACTCCATTTCGGTGGAGGGTGAATCCGCACAATGCTGTATTCGCTCAAAGAGATAGAGAGAGAGAGAGAGAGAGAGAGAGAGAGAGAGAGAGGAACAGACACACACACACACACACAGAGAGAGAAAGAGAGAAACACACACACACACAGAGAGAGAGAGAGAAAGAGAGAGAGGAAGAGAAACAGAGAGAAAAAGAGAGGAACAGAGAGAGAGAGGAAGAGAGACAGAGAGAGAAAGAGAGGAATAGAGAGAGAGAGGAATAGAGACAGAGAGAGAAAGAGAGGAATGGAGAGAGAGAGGAAGAGAGACAGAGAGAGAAAGAGAGGAATAGAGAGAGAGAGAGGAAGAGAGACAGAGAGAGAAAGAGAGGAACACACACACACAGAGAGAGAGAGAGAGAGAGAGAGAGAGAGAGGAAGAGAGACAGAGAGAGAAAGAGAGGAACAGAGAGAAAGACAGAGAGAGAAAGAGAGGAACAGAGAGAAAGACAGAGAGGAAGATAGAGGGAAAGAAAGCAGGGTTCTAAAAAGACTTTGAAAAGGGGTGCTGGATGCCAAAAAAGAAAAGTCTGTGGCGTCTCTATAGCGCGGAGTCCGAGCGATGCTATGTAGAACGAGCCAGCAGGACAGACGTTTCAAGGGGGTATTCTAGTGTGGCCAAAGTTTTTTCTAGCTTCCTTTGAGATTATTTTGTGAAGATGCTACGACACCCTGTGCAAGAAAATTTACAAACTTTATTTATGCGTGCTTCGAGCACATTTGTCATTTCTTTCGCTCGAGAAAAGAAGAAATTTGTGGCACTGGCTGCTTCGAGGCATTGTAAAATTTAAAAACGTCTCATGGTACCCGAGACTACGGCCATTTTGTTTATCCGAAGTGAACAAACGCGCGAGATTCTTAATTGCTATAAATGAGGCTATTAAAACGTACTTTGTTAATCTTCACTATACGTCTTGCTTAAAAATTTCATACGTTACGCACAAGGTGTCATGTACACTAGGAAATTAAAACGGCCGTCACGGTTAAATTACTTACTATTTCGGGTCCGAAAAATTAGTAAATATTCTTCAGATGTTGTAAAGTAAAGGTGAACAGTGTTTTTCTTAAAAATATCACTGTTACGTAGTAAAAAAAAATCCGGAAAGTTCTCGCTTCGTGATTTGTTCAATACTTCGTACGCGGCTCGTCCACCAAAGGAAAAGTTGAATCACGGGCGGTAACAAATGGAAACCATTGAGGATGTGGATTTGGTTGGATATTGCTTATTTTAATTTTTTTGCCAAGACAATGTTCTAAATTATTGTGTTTTTTATAATTTTAATATAATATACTTTTTAATATTAATTAATTTAATTTTAATAATTATATATAATAAATTTAATTTATATAATTTCTTAATATGAATTAATCTAATATTAATATAGTTTTAATTTATTATAGTTTAAAAACTATTGTGTTCTTTTTACATTAAAAAGAATTGATTTTTTCGACCGGTTTAAAAAAAAAAAACTATGCGTTAAGGGTTTAACGGATCTCGCTCGGAATGTTTCAGGGACAGACACCGCAGGCGGAGGACGAGAACACGCCGCAGAAAAGGGTGGACAAGATCTTCGATCAAATGGACAAGAACCACGACGACAAGCTGACGTTGGAGGAGTTCCGGGAGGGCAGCAAGGCCGACCCGAGGATCGTGCAGGCTTTGTCGTTGGGTGGCGAGTAATGGGGAAGTTCGGCACGAGCGAGTCCGTTCGTTCATCGAAAGGACAGAGGAGTAATCGATCCCTCGGCCGATAAGGATAAGCGATAAGGAACCGCGTAATCGATCGCGCGTACGCACAGGTACCTAGGGTGCATCGCCTCGGAGCGGCGCCCCGAGCGACGCCAGGCGAGCGACGCTGAGCGACGAGACCTTAAACACACCTTTTTCAAACACTTCTCTTTATCCTTCTCTTCTCGCAGACAAACGGTTTTATTCCTATTTGCACGATCGTTATCGTTCCCGACAATCGTGCGACGATATTCTTAGAAAAAAGTCGTAGATGTTTCAAAGTGTAGCGGAGAAGTCGAGTAGCCGCCGATCTCCTAGTTCTTCTCGTGCTCGACTCTCGATTGTTTCGTTTACGAACGACGCGACGCGAGGAGCCGGACCTCTCTCGACACGGTACCGTGGAACCACGGAACCCTCGGGAGAACAGCCGCGGAAATCGCGGTCACCAGATTCGATCGATCGCAGACCCGGTTATTTCAATTCGACGGACTCGAAACGGCTCTGCTCCTGGAAACGGCAACGCTCGACAGAACGCCGCGCCGGTGGTGCCCGCCTCTGGCGGGGAGGATGTTCCATCGAAATCTTGAATGATGCTGACGAAGGGTTGTTTAAAATGTATGCTCGACGCGAATCACAGCAGACCGTATATATGGGCGGTTCGGAAGCCGGTCCGGTGTAAGTCCACTTTCTCTTTGAAAATTAGTTACGCGGTGCCAACGCGTCGTTATCGTAGAATCTGCTGGTCGATTAGGCAGTATACAGTAATGACTCTCTAATTGACGCTCTAATTGTCCAGAAAGATGGAGAATTTTGGATTTTTATGGTTATCGATTGTCAAGAACTATAAAAACGAGCTGCGAGGCTCGAATAATCGCATCTCCTCTTCCCAAATTACTGTACATTGAAAGTACAGTAATGTCTCCCTAATTGACACTGAGATTGTGCAGAAAAATGGACAATTTGGGAAGAGGAGCCTTGCGAATTCGAGCCTCGCGACTCGATTTTATAGTTACCGATTGTCAAGAACTATAAAAACGAGCTGCGAGGCTCGAATAATCGCATCTCCTCTTCCCAAATTACTGTACATTGAAAGTACAGTAATGTCTCCCTAATTGACACTGAGATCTGTCTCTTATACACATCTTGGACAATTTGGGAAGAGGAGCCTTGCGAATTCGAGCCTCGCGACTCGATTTTATAGTTACCGATTGTCAAGAACTATAAAAACGAACTGCAAGGCTCGAATAATCGCAACTCCTCTTCCCAAATTACCGTACATTGAAAGTACAGTAATGTCTCCCTAATTGACACTGAGATTGTGCAGAAAAATGAACAATTTGGGAAGAGAAGCCTTGCGAATTCGAGCCTCGCGACTCGATTTTATAGTTACCGATTTTCAACAGTTATAAAAACGAGCTGCACGGCTCGAATAATCGTATCTCCTCTTCCCAAATTGCCCATTTTTCTGCACAATCTGAGCGTCAATTAGGGAGGCACTACTGTAGTCGATTTCTTTATAAATAGACAATAGATAGTAACGCTTGCATCGACCATGGAATAACTAAACAATATTATTCGGAGAAAATCTTTTCTAAAAAAGAAAAACTCACTTTTCTTTCGTTTCTCTTCCGGGGTTCAGTTCATTTAGGCCATCTTACAATAAAAATTGTACTTTGCATTATTACTAGCGTTGTTATCTTTTCACAGCTAATTAGCAGAATCCTTTTTATCACAATTCTCAGGTCAACTTACACCGATTAGCTTACGGGCCGCTCCACGCGTCGGGCAGACAGAGACGATGTTTCATGGATTTATTACCGGCGTTGATATCTTTTCATAGTTAATCAGCAGAATCCTTTTTATCACAATTCTAAGGTCAACTTACACCGATTAGCTTACGAGCCGCTCCACGCGTCGAGCAGACAGAGACGATGTTCCATGGATTTTTACGAAAATTCCGATAGATAGTCGTTCACGATTGGCTTTATCGTTAACGAAGATACCTTTCGGAGGAGGCAGATGAACGGCGATAGCGACGATGGCTCGATTGGCCCGATCGAGTACTTTTCGCCAGAGGTGGTCCGACGGAGCCATGGGGAGGAACTATAACGGCACCGTTTCGAGAGCTGTCGCGCGTTTCCCTCGGCGTTCGCCCGAGGAAACGAGATATCCCGGGGATTAAAGTTGAGGCAACGATGGCAAAGGGAACGTCCTGCTCGATAATAGACGAGTGCAATTGCGCTGGCCGCTTATATCGACCGGCCGTGGCGCTTAACGCGTTCAGCCCCGCCGGAAGATTTATCGTAGATTGGCAGACCGAGCGACGGCGCGGCACGGCGCGGCGCGACGCGGCGAAAAGTTTCGGGCTCGGCAGACGGAGCAATTTTCGCGTAATCCCCCGAACGATCGGCGATTAATTATATTTTTCGATACGTTCGAGCGCCGGCGGATCGATCCGGAGCCTCGCCGGAACCGTCTCCTCGCGAACGCTGACGCCGGGGCCCGATACGGTCGAAGCGTTGAAAGAAAAGGAAACGGAAGAGCGCCGCCGACGAAAGAAGCTGGGAAGTGATTAAAGCGAGAGGGAAGCGGGAAGGCCGAGTGTTTCCCGAAGCGCGTTTCAGGCTGGCGGACGCGTGGGCGGACCGGAATCCGACGGAGAATGCAGCCGAGACCTGGAATATAAGAAGAAAGAGGGTGGTGCGAATCGGCCGAGCTAAATTTTCCCGACCTTCTCTCCCGACCGCGACGCTCTAATGCCCGTTCTCGCCGCGTTTTTCCGCTTCTTGGTGCGAGGATCCAGCCCGTGGGAAAGACAATTTCGCTCGCCCTCGAACGCTCGTATTTCCTAGAGCCTTGCAAATTCCGTTTCCATTTGCGCGATCAGCTTTCCTCGGATCGGCGTTGCGCGCCGATGGCGGCCGAACCAATGGCGGACTAAATTTCTTTTCTCTCTCTCTCTCTCTCTCTCTCTCTCTCTCTCTTCGTTGAAACGCGTAATATTCGAGGAGAAGATCGCTGTAGGTAAAGCGATGTCGGGTGTTTCATCGCTGGTCGATCGATGAAAAGCAAAACCGCGTGACCATTTATTGGATAGGTCAACAACTCGATTCGTTTCTCCATTCGCGGAGTACCGTAGCCTTTGCGGCGATTAAGCTCCTTTGCGAATCCCCGCCCCCCTCCCCAAGATTACCTCGAGTCTCTCTTCTATCGTTTGCAGCGATTACGGCGAGTGGCCGAAGACGCCGCTTTTCGATAGAAGGAAATATAACGTATATATATATATATATACCGGAGCTAATTTGCAATGCAACCGAATAGCTTCGAATTAGCCGGGGGACAAAAGCTCTCTCCGCGGAAACGCCGCCAAACGGACTTAAACCGTCTCTGTTTTCGTTTTCCCGTCGCATTATGTATTTACCGCGCCCCGAAGGCGCGCGGGCTGTCCCTTTAAAGAATCATTCGACAGCATTACGCTTTAAACGGGCCTGCAGCAGACGAAGGCTCGTTAAAAATTCAAGCCTCGACAGCCAGAGCAGTTTTCGAGGACAACAAAAACGAGAAGCGGAGAGACAGAGAGAGAGAGAGACAGAAAGGGAAGCAACTTGTTTCGGGTCTCAACCGGCTTCGGTTCGCCGATCGTAAAACGGCATGGAGAACCGTGCGCGCCGGCTTCTTTGGGTCTCTGAAAAATTCACGCGGGAATCAGAATTTCAAATCCGCAGCCCGGCACATGAATCGAACCGTTTCCGCCGCGTCAGCCGTCCGATCCGACAGTGTTCAAACGGCGATTCAATGGAAATAACGAGAGCGCCGGATTGAAGAGGCCGATTTCTCGGCGGATCGTTGATTAATAATCGAAACCCATGAATTTTCATGATGTTTTTCTCACGAAGCAGCTCCGAGTTCACGCGCGGCTCGTTAACGAACGTAGCTCGTCGCCGCCCTCGTTGCATCCCTCGCGAGCACCCAAACCCTCCTCGAACTGCTCTTTCAGCCGGACCTTGGTGCTCTTCGCCAACCGAGTTGTCTCTTGTCCCTTCCTTCGAACCCTTAATTCAACCAGATAGCATCTGGTGCATCTCCGCGTTTCCCTTAACTTTCGCGCGTCCCTTCGCGGATCTTCGAAACGAACTTCAAAGTTAAATCAACTTCCTCCTCAAACCGAGCTAAAACGCGTCGATCCGAAATATCCCAGGGAACTTTTATTTTCGCGCCGATCCCCAGCGTGGAAATAATTTTGCGTAACCATTTTTTTTTTTCGAAGCGCAGGAGGGTTAACTGCAGCCCCTTGACACGGAAGAGGAGCGATTACAGGGAAAAGAACGGAGGCGCGGGTTTAAAATAGAAACAAAGGCGAAAGAAGGGGCCGGGAGTTTTACGCGGACGAGCTCGATACTACCAAACCGGGAAGTTAAGAAGCGATCGCGCGACGATCCTGTATCGAAGTTAACGCGAAATTCGCGGGAATCGATACTCGATCACGTCCGACTAATTGGCGATAAGCGTTCCTTATCGGCGAGAAGCCGGCGCGGGATCGCGACGCGGAAGCGCGGCGAGAGTTTCACACCGGCGCAAAATTCTTTCGCGTGCTCGTCGAGTCGACAACGAAATGCACTCGCCGCGGAAGGGTTAATTAAACGGCATCATGGGCGGCCGTTGCGCGGAACGCGGCGCCTTCGGGAGCGGCAATTAATCTTGAGCTCTTCCGTCCCAGGAATGAATACTCCGAGGAATTTCAGGCTTGTCAACGGCCGAGGCACACCTGGTCGTTAGCGCCACATTTTTTTTTCCACCGGCGTGGTTCACCGTCCCCGCCGAATTCCAGCGTTAACGTTAACACGCGGCGTTGTCTTTGTCAAAGTCGGCCCTCGCCTCGTCCCGGCGAGCTCGCGGCGGCCTTCTTCTTTAATTCGCAGCTCGGATGGGAGTGGCATCATTTTCCTCGAGAGCCCCCGGCTGCACCCCCATAAATCCTCCAGCCCGTTTCCACGCCGGTCTTTTCCACCGTTCCACCCCTGTACACCGTTGCGCAACAACGTTCCGTTATGGAATCCGCCGTCCGAACGGAAACTCACCCCGTTCGTTCCACTTGCCGGTCTCCGTAATCGCGCGCCGCCTAACGATCTTACGCAACGATAACGCGCGCATGCACGCACGTGCACCGGAATCCCTCTGAGAACGCGAGCTCGTCTCGAGCCGCAGCAATATTCGTAAATTGCAACAGCCACCCCCTCCGCGCACCGCCCAGGCGTTTTACGATTCCTCCCCGTGCCGCCGGCCACGATCGCGCTAAGGCCAAACGCCGAGGCGATTACATATTTAACCGCGTGATTAAGGGCTGATAGCCGAGCGTATTATTTACCAGGCCGAGAGCCGGTGTGTTTCGCCGAGGAATTCCAAACACAAGGAATCGCCCGGAGGGGGAGAGGGGGGGCAGCTGTGCTAGCTTCATTGAAATTCAGGAAGAAATATCGGACAACAAAACCCTCGCGCGCGCGCCATGCCTCGAGCGAAAATTCGTGTCAGATATATTTTTGCCGGGGGAATCGCGCGGAATTTTTAGTTCCCTCGGTGTTTCCCAGTTGCGCAACACGCGGTAACGAGAGCAAGCTGGCCAAGAAACGCCGTCGGTTCGTTCGCGTGGAACATCACGGAACATCCAGGCCGAAAAAAGTCGCCGCCTCTTATTCATCCGGGCGCGGCAACCGCGTCGAAAAGTTTCGCCGAAGTTTCCCCTGATTTATGCCGGGGCAACCGAGGGACGCCCGCTTTCGGGATATACGTCTGTTGGCTCGAAACATCGAGGCGATCGGCCCTCGGCTACGTTTTTCGTCGATCGAACGCCCACCCGGGTGGGACGCCTACGTTTCTGCACGCGC